TTGTGCAAAACTGGTTACATTGTTTAAGGCATACAGCTGTGGTTCTTTCATCCAGCTGTGTTTCTCTAATTCTTTTTATATCGCCAAATTCAGACTCAAACATGAAGTGTGTGTTTGTCTGTCAGCAGCTGAGTTTACAGACTCGTACATTTGTCCTGTGTATAGAACATCTATTTTCATGTTGTTCCATTACATTCACGCACACTTATGTAAGAAGCTCCAGTGACTGTGTGTGTGTGTGTGTGTGCGCGCAGAGCATCAAGTTGCAGTTTTGAGTCACAGCTTCATGGGATCTTTGTGTCATATTTTAATACAATTAATAAAGCTGTAATTTTTACACTAGGTCAAATAAAAATATAAGAAGGCAGGAAGGATTTAACAGGAAAACAGACAAAGAGATTATAGCTGTTACAGTTTTGGTCACATACAGACAAACTCATGATGTCTTTGCTTTGTGTGCCGCTTTAGCTCCACTTGGTCCACTGGAACTCTGACAAGTACAGCCTGTTTGAGGAGGCAGTGATGGAGGATAACGGGCTGGCGGTTATTGGAGTTTTTCTGAAGGTACATCACACACTGTCTTTCAAGTCCTTAAACAGTGACCAAAATCATATGTTTTGGGTTGCTTTTGATTTGCGTTCAGCAGTGTGTTTATGTGAGAGAATGGTAACAGCCGTCCAGCTGATTTGTGAGTGACGATAATCCAGATTAAGGTCTAATCTTTGCATAGGTGGGAAAGAGACACGAGGGGCTGCAGAAACTGGTGGACGCTCTGCCTGCAATCAGACACAAGGTTAGTCACACACACATATGTGTTTATACCTGTTGTGTTTTTTCTCTGCTTTAATGAGCAAGTGTATTTACCTTTGACAAAGAGCATCACAGACCAACAATTCTGTACCTGTCAGTTTATAGGGAGGTGGTGCCCTCTAGTGGTTCAGGCTTTCTTTCACACAGAGAATTTCATTTATTTTTTTTTCACCAAGTAGTCAAAAGAACTGAAGTCAAACTGAATCAGTAGCTGTGTATTCACTGCATCCAACGACCTGAAGATGAGGTAAATTACACTAGCTGTGCATTAATAAATGTAGCAGATGTAAGCAGCTCGCTATATGAAAAGAATGCAGGCAAGAAACAACGAGGAGGAAACACAAGAGCTTAGTGCTTTTAACCTTGGATGGATTATTGGTGCAGACATTATTGATTATTGGTGAGATGCTTTTTCTGGTCTGCTTTTTTTCCACGAACAACAGTCTAGTTCAGAGAGTGGAGCAGAAAATTACAAACACTCAATAAGCTACAGTTCTGTAGTTGGAAAGCTGTAGAGGATGGCGTGCAAAAGCGGGCGATTGCATCAGCACTCTGTTCTCTGTTAACTTAGAACAGGAAACCAAGACTATATTGGGCACACATTTACCACACCTAGACAGTTTTCATCTCGAAAGGACGACAGACTGTCCTGACAGATCATGATTTCTGCTCCCACATCAGATTGTCAAGTCAGAATTTGGTGATAATGAGACGAATCCGTTGTCCACAATGTGTGGTGTTAACAGTTCAAGCTGCTAATGGTGGTGGTGGTGTGATATAGTTTTTCCCTTGATTTTAACATGTTGATCTGTCATTATAGACCTGTCCTGAGATAGGATTATATTTCCTTTACACTGTTGCTTGTAGTTTTTGAAGGTGACTCACTGGAGATTGTATTTTCCCCTTGTTTTTTATCACTACTAATTCACAGCTTATCACTAACAAGGTCTGATATGAATGTTTGTTCAACAATATAATAAGAAGCGTGTGCTAAATAACAGATGTTGTGTAACACATATCAAACAAATTTTAAAGTGGATAATGGATAGCTTGATGGTTGCAGTGTTAAAATAAATGGGGCACTTGTTAGATATTTTGACTTATCAGTCTGTCAGTGGACTTATCCCAGCTGTCACAGGTTAGAGACAGGGAGATATCAGTCTGTCACAGAGTTAAGACAGAGAGACGGACAACCATTCACACACACATGTATGACCAATTTAGAATCATCACTTATCTGACTGTGAAAAGAAGCTGGAGTACAGAAAAACATATTTATATTATAGTCAACGTTTAATGATTTTAAATGTTTTACAATTTTCCACAGAGTGCATCCAGTCTCCTGTTGTGTATTTTCTGTAATATACTTGTACTGTTACACTTGCGGATGCTAATATCAACACGGCTGTGAGTGGAAGCTGTGAACCTGAGATGCACCCAGAAAAATGTTGACTCACAAGGAGAGGAGCTAAAATGGCTTGTTTCAGGCAGAACTAAGGATCAGTTTGAAGTGTGAATCATGCAAAGCTACTCCAGTAGAGTCCACAAGCTTTAACTGAATATTTGTTTCTTGGGTCTTCTGCAGGACAGTGTAGTAGAGTTTAACCGGTTCGACCCTGGCTGTCTGTTACCCACCAACACAGATGACTACTGGACGTACCACGGCTCTCTAACCACGCCTCCTCTGACAGAGTCGGTTACCTGGCTGATTATGAAACAGCACATAGAAGTCAGCCATGAGCAGGTAAGAATGATGTTTTTTAAGAATCACAACACAAAAAAGTAAAGAATGTTAACAGTGGGTCGACGTTTCATGTGCAGTGTGATTGGTGGTGTCTGTTTTCTTTTTTTCAATCCTTCTTCCTCTGTTAAACCTTCCTCTGTTAATGTGGTCCATCCTAAGACCAAATACAGACAAATAAGGGCAGAGATGTAAATGAACACTGTATTAACACATGTTTGAGTGGGTGGGGATCAAAACTGAGGATAAGCACTGTTCCAAATGGGTAGAACTGGTTGCTAACGTGCTATCCATGACTACTATTAACCCTTTTCCACTAGTACCTACTCAGCCAACTCAACATGGCTCAGTTTGGGATGTTTGGCATTACAATAGAGTCTGAGGTTGTTATAACAACCTTGTGGCCAAACGTCATGTCATTTGTATGCAACACTAACACCACAACAGTGGAGGACGTTGAGGCAATGGCATACCTGCTGCCAAAGTAGTGCTTTTTTGTGTAGCTGTTTCCCTCGTTGCCAGGTTTTTGATTTTTGTGAGTGAGACGCTCTAATGATTCATGATGCCACTGACTAGCCAATCGGTGGCATGCAGTCTTTTGATGTCACATTTTCAGATCACCTCAGATCGATTGGAATCCCAGCCGAGCAGGTACTAAAAAAGTACATACCACCTAATGGGAAACCCTAAAAACTAAGATAAGTCAAGCTGACCCGAGCAGGTACTAGTCGAAAATGGCTGTATGAGAGTTACTGCTGTCCCATGGTGGGCACGAATCACTGGTCCAACTTTAAGTTGAGTTGGGAACAACTGTTCTTTCAAGGTAACTTTCAGTAGTGGTTTCCGATGACAGTTGAGCTTTATGTGAAGGTGTGTTTTTTTTGCATCCACACCCATAAAAACCAGCACAGCAACATTTCAGCTTCATGATTCCCAGTTCGTTGAAATTGCCCAGAAACTAAAGATATTATCTTTTGAAGAAGTTTGATATAAATCTCTGCTGTCTACCTCTGACTCTCTCGCTCTATAGTTGGCTGTCTTCCGGAGCCTTCTTTTCACCTCAGCCGAGGAGGATATGCAGAAGAGCATGGTGAACAACTTCCGTGTGCAGCAGCCTCTCCGGGGCCGTGCCGTCCGCTCCTCCTTCAGTCCCTTCCTGAAGGAGGCGCCATCCACTGAAGGCGACAAGCACAACCACTGATGCTGCCAGACCCTTTCGTCTTCTCTTACAGTAACTCACACAGTGACCCCTGTCCACACTTCTGTTGTTTTCCTTTCTTCGTGCTGTCAGAACATGTTGTTGCTCATCAACATCTGATGCTGGAAGCAGGTTTTTAGAGTGTAGCACAATGTTGGCAAACTGTTTCTGATTGGTTGCGGTTTTTATTTTCTTTTACAATTTGGTTTGACTGTTGCAGACCAAAAGCCAATAAGGGATGCTTGCTGTGGGGAAAAATAATATTGATAAGAATGGTATTTATTCTATATTTACAGTCTTTTCAGTTACTGTATGTAAAGTTTGTAGCTACAGCTGTGTGTAGGGAGTCCCACCGAGGTGCAGGTACAAACTTCATGGTCACAGCTACAGCAGAGAGTGCTCTGATCTCCTCGCTGTGATGTTTTTATCCTTATAAGGAGGCAGGAGCTACTGTAAGTTTACAACACAATGCCCTGGAGATTTTACCAAACCGTCAGGGGGAATGTGCCTCCCCAGTAAAATACTCAACATATCTAAAATCATCAGTGTTTTACCACTTGTACCACAATGTCACTTTTTTCATTCTTAAAGTTGTAGGATTTACTGTTTTGTTTTTTTCCATCTACACACTTTAAACTTTTAGTGTCGTAGCCTGATATAAAGAGATACTTATGTATTATACTTTATACATCTTTGTTTTATTCGGACATCCTATAATTTAAAGAGTCTGAAAGCTGACTCTAAGCTTTGGTTCTTCTACATAGAACCTGTGTAATACGCACAATCAGGCCTGGTTACTATAGCACATACACGCATCCTGATTGACCCAGAGTGCATGTACCTGTGTCACACTGGTGCACCCAGTTCTCTTCCTTTACTCTGGCTTACAGTGATCTCCATTAGACACTATAACCACCGTGCCTTTAAATGTTCTCTGTGTGGCTCACTGCTTTTGGCAGCTTCACCCTCACCCCTCACAGGATGGAAAGTATCTGTTCCCCCAAGCTATAGCTCGGGTACAGTGGTTGGTGGTCACTCTCAGAAATGGTGGAAGCTCAGCTGCTATTTACTGTGATGCTCACCTCTTACTTCCCAGACAGGTGTACTATGAAGTGAGGAGTCAGTTTTCAGTGTTACAAAGGAAGCTCTGTTTGCTCTCTATACCTACTTATGATGAACTCGTAACCTGGTCTGCAGCAGAGTCAGTTATCAGTTCAGCTCATTTTGGCTTGGCCAAAAACTAAACTGATTTCCACTGATCTCTCTTCATTACACTATGGGACAGCATCAGACCTGCATGCACAGGTGTAAAGCTTTAAAGTTGCAGCTGTCATGGTAACCTAAAGATGTATTTGCATATAAAATCCCAGAATTAACAGTTTTCTTCAGCATTGAGCTTATGACTTATTGGCAACATCACTGTTGGTTTTATTGACCTCTGAATAAAGCAGGCCAGCAGTCTGGGTTAACCACAGTTTGAGGCTTTGTTGAGCAAGCCAACACAAAGAAAGCCTGACTATGTTGAACTTGCTTCATAGTACACCTGTCTGGTAATTTGAATGAATCGAGTTGTAATTGGGAGGAAGCTGCTGTCTTTATTAGTCTCTGTGGTGCAGTTGTTGTGTTTTAACAGAAGATTAATCGCACTAATGTGATAGAACAAATCAGTCTGCTGTTTTTGGATTGGAAGGGGTTTAAAGTTACAGTTATATTTAGCATAAAATGTAATGTAGAATCCACATCATTATTATTATTATTATTATTATTACTGATGTTTTAAAGCTAAAGACCTTTTGCAGGATGTACTTGGATAGGTCACAGGAGGATAAGTTACCTCTAATGTTGCAGCATGTTTTTATTTTTATATACAAGGATTCCACTATTGGAGTTTCACCTGTAACCTATCCAGAGGGAACCTATTATGCTTGTTTCCATCAACATATTTTTATTCTTGGTCTCTACTTGAGTAGCTTTGGTTAATTCATGGTTCAGGATGAATTTCTTTCTTCTGATTGGCTGCTGTTCATAAACAACGGGTGGGTGGGGATTCTGCACTCACAGAGAGCTGTGTGCCAGAGTGCTTTGTCACCTGTGACATTGTACAGGCAAAAATATCTGCCATTTAGAGCAGCGATAAGCCTGTTTTTTGTCTCACAGTGCACCATTTAAAACTGAATATGAGGATTCATCATTTTAGCATAATTATATGACAAAATATGAAGAAAAAAAGCATAGTAGTTTCCCTTTTAAAGATGTAAACTAGAATAAATTAAAATGATATGCAGATCCAGTGCAGGGACACAAAGGTTTTGAAATCGGGAACAGTTTTAATGCAATGTTACATCATCTAGAAAGGTTTAGCAGTTAGCATGTCCAGCAGCCGCAGTGCACGAAATTGGACTGTGCAGCAACGTCAGAAAGCTAAAAGGAAGTTTGAGGTTAAGTTGAGAGAGGAGGAGGGTACTGATGGAACGATAGAAGGAGACCTGTCTGGCTCTGAGATTGGTCTTATTTCAGGACTGCAAACACTGCCATGCAAACTGGAACATTGCACCATATCTGGCCACTTCTAACGTCATCTGTGTGCAAAGGTTTTCTCTAATGGCATACAGTTGCACTGAAGTGGGGTGAGAGGTCATGGTTGTCTTAATGATCCCTCTGTAACAATGCAACTGTCCAAACTTGCCCTCCTCTTGTCACCGAGGCTCACGTGAGGCTTTAACGCCCTGCTCCATCTCCCCCGCGGGTCATCCGTTGGCCCCCCAGTCGAAGCAGGGCACGAAGCTGCACAGCGACTGGACTTCAGTGGACATGTATTGAAAAGATGCGATGTGCACTGGGCGATGTTAATTGTTGTGACGGCTGCAGACTGGCTGGATTAACAGTGAGGGGCCTGCAGAAGGCAGAAAAGATTTTAGCGTGAAGTTGAAGTGGAATTTGATGAGGTGGTGTGCTTGGGGTTTTTTCTTCTTCTTTGTTCAGTGTATTGTACTAAGACGGGAGACAAGGGACCCAGTGCTGCCTTCATCGTGTACAGCTGTATTTTATTGATGTATTTGAATTGTGCACCATCATCTGCCTTGGTTTTTCATGGCTTTTTACTCATGTTTTTACTTTCTTATGCCTTTTTTAAAAAAAAATGCAGTGCTATTAATATTAACATATTACAATGCACACACTCAGTCAGTGCAGACTGATTATTTAAATGGATTGATCTATCAAAGTATGAGGCGCTAGAAATCTGTTTTTGGTGCTTTTCTTGATTGACTGCTAAATATTATATATATTTTTGCATCAATGAAATCTAATAGAATATAAAGTCTTCCTCTTTTTGTGTTTTAATCCATATCATTGCCTGCTTTTCTAATCATGGAGATACTACAGGTCCTACTGTACTTAAAAAAATATTTTGCATCTTTACTTCATCTTTCCTAGTCTTCTGTGGCTCACTGTGATGTTTTAGCAGGTGTATGATGTGTACACTGTATGCAGTGCATATTTTAGCTGTTTATTTGTTGAGTGTGTAGCCCAC